CCACCCGAGGCTGTTGTTGTGACTCCCCTTGGAACTGCATTTGTTGGTGATCAGGGGAACAGAAAGCAGCAGCCGTGTCCAACAGAAGAGAGACATTAAAGTTGATTAAGTGAGTGGGCCAATTAGTGTCTGGCTTCATGCAGTGTGGAGTTAATTAGCCTCTACAAAACAACAACAGCTGCCTTAATGGTAGGGCAGGAGGCCCCGCAGAGAGGAACCATGGGAAGAGGAGTGATAGGGCCAGTACTTAATAATTTGGCTGCAGTGGGCCCTGCCCCACTAAAAATGTAGAACAAACCCCAGGGCCAAACGTCCCTCCTGCTTCCAGACCATGCATGAGGTGAGGCTGGGGGGCAGAACCTTCCAGTCTCTTGCCCTGAGCAGAGACCAAAGTCAAACTTCAGCTTGAGTTTCTTTTTGAGACTCTTCGGCACAACTTAGTTTGCATTCTAATGAATGTCACTACCCTACACACTGCATCTTGGTCTTTGGCTCCATAATTCAAACTGTTTCCTAATGGTAATGTCATTTCCTTATGACAAAAGTAATGTGTACTTATTGGGGAATGTTTGGAAAGGATACACAAATATACAGAAAAAAAATAGTTCCTCCATCCTGTATCAGATTTTTTTGTTCACTAAACATTTATTGTTCACTTACTAAATGTGGTGCTATGTAAGGTGTTCAGACAAAGTACATATCAGTTTAGTTTTTTCTCCCTGTAGCTATATATGTATATATACACAACAAATTGGATTCGCTGTATCTAATCTTTAATGACCCACTGTTTTCAGCAATGTAACCAACATTTTCCCCTTTTCATAGAAAAAAATTTTAACCCTCTGTGGTTTCACTAATTATACTGCATTGTATGGTTATATACATTATATACATTGTATAGTATACTTGTGGTATAATTGTCCATTTATTTATGCTTCTTGCCTCTTCTAACAGGTTTTGAGGATGGAGACAAGACTTTTTTTTAAACCACTGTATCCTTAGTAGATCAGACCCTACATCTAGAGCCAACCACGTGGTAGGGACTGTTTAAAAATGTGATGAATACATAAGCAAATGAGTAAAGAAATTTAACTCGTCCTTTCTGCAGGGCCATGGAGGTTGTTTATACCTCTTTACTCATAAAAAATGTTGTAGGAGCCAGGGATTTAGCTCAGTGGTTCTGCCACCTGCCTCGCAAGTGCAAGGTCCCAAGTTTGATCCCCAGTACCAAAAAAAAAAAAATGTTGTGGGCTGGAATGTAGCTCAGTGGTAGAGTGGTTCCCTAGCATGCATGAGGCACTGGGTTCAATCCCCAGTATTGCAAACAAACAAACAAAAGCCAAACAACAAAACACCACCACCCACCAAACTCTATCTTCCCCCTAAAAATACCCCAAACCAAAAAACTGTTGTGTCAGATATGATTGGGTAAACTACAAGTGACCAAAAATCCCCAAAGCAGTGGTTTAAACAAGGCAAAAGGTTTCTCTCTGGCAAAAATTCAAGAAGTCAGACCAGGGCTAGCATGGTGCTTTGCTACCCACTGGCATGGACTCCAGTTCCAGTGGCTGCTGAAGTACCAACCACACTCCAACCAACAGCAAGGAAAAGCAGGGAGAAAGACACCAGCTCTTCCTTTACGGTTCCTTCCTACAAGTTCCAGATGCCATTTCTTTTGGCTTACTCTTTAGTTAGAATTCGGCCATATGACTATATTTAATGTTAAACATCGAATAATACTTGAGGCTACATGTGGTGAATAAGGAAGGAGGAAAAGAAAGTTGGGGGACCATTAGCTAGGATGGCTCTTTGACCTGAGTTGACCCAGCCTCTCTAGCTAGTCCCTCCCTAATGTGAATCTTAGTTTCTCCAGATGGGGGCCTGCAAGTCTATCAGGTTATCCTGGCTTCTCAGCCTCAGGCTTGGGACCAGTGCCCTGGGAGGGTTTTGGTGCTTTCCCTTCCCTGCTATGACCTTCATCTTGCCGGGTGATGTAGTCATCGCCAAAACTGGACTCAATAAAGATGCCCCATTTCCCTGAGGTTGTTTTTCCAATTAGTACAAAGAGGAAGTTCCAGCTGTGAGGACAGGAATTGGGGTTTCTGAAACACAATGATTATTAGTAACAATCAATCAGTCTGCTAGGACAATGGAGGAAAAGCTGGCTCTCAAGGATGCTATGTGGGACAAGGATGACAGGCTGCCTGTAACAAGAGGCAGGGTGGCTCAACTGCATTGTGGCCAAGCTCCAGAGACGGCCGGGGACTTTGTAACAAGGTTTTACTGCCTGCAGTAAAAATCCTGCCAAAACGCATTCAGGACCGTGTGGGGAGAGGCGTATTCATTATTATACCCCTAGCAGCTATCGCAGGAAACCATCTGGGCTCAGTTGGCCTATAAATTTGCAACTTGCAGTTGGGTGGGCTACAGGGAATCAGCCAAGCAGGAAGTCAAGGTGTGAAGTGGATCTGGCAGGTTCCATACACAGGGCTAGCTCAGAAAGGGGCCATTCCTGGCAGTATTTTTTCTTTTTAATTTTTTATTGTGAAGTATATCACACATTAAAAAAGTGCATCAAATATAAATGTACACTTTGACAAATGATCATAAGGTGAATACATATGTGCCAATCACTCAGGTCAAGAAATAGGACATGGCCATCCCTCCAGAAGTCTCCGTGGACCCCTTCCCCAGCACAACCCTGCTTCCCCTCAAAGATAATGGTCCTGACTTTAATGAGGATAACTTCCTTCCCTCACTTTACTGTTTTTTCACTTTAAGTATTCACCCCAAATGATAATTTCATTTTTCTATTTTTGAACTTTATGCTATACAGAATCATAGAGTCCATATACCTTCGGGCTTGGGTTTATTTTTTGTGCTCAATATTATCTTTAAAATATGTGTGTGTATTGCATAAAGCTCTGGTCTGTTCATTTTTATACTGAATATGATTCTGTTTATCTATTTTACTGCATTTGGACATTTTACTCTTCCTGGATATTCGAGGTATTTTCCATTTTGGTTTATTACAAATAATATTGTTACAAATACCCTTGTGCATATATCCTTGTGCATGTCTGTGTGAGTTTCTCTGCAGCTGTGATCCTCAGAACTTCAGTGTGCATGAAAACAGCCAGCAAGCTTGCAAAAATGCAGAGTTCTGGTCCATCTTCCTAGAGATTCTGATTCAGTAAATCTAGGGTGGAGCCCAGAGGTTTTCATTTCTAACAAACCAGTCAGTGATAATGATTCATTTATCCCTTGGGCTGCAGGACCAAGCAGGGCTCTGCAAACTGTACTCCATTGGTTCAGCCTGGCCAGATTGCCCTTGGATGGTCCATGAGCGAAGAGTGGTTTTGGATGATTAGAGGGAAAATCCGAAGAAGAAGAATATTTCACGACACATGAACATTTTAGATGAAATTCAAATTTCAGTGTCCATAAATAAGGTTTTCATGGCACATAGCCATGCCAATTCCTCTAGATTTTATCCATGGCCGCCTTAAGGCTCATTTGCAACACAGACCACAAGACCTGCAAAACCCGAAGTAGTCACCTTTTGATCTTTTATGGAAAATGCTTTCTAATGCTTTAGAATATATGGTTAGGAGTGGGATCGCTGTGCCACAGAATGTGTACTTGTAACACTTCATAGATATGTCAGTTTTTCAAGGTGACTCTGCCACTTTACCTTCCCATCAGCAGTGGATGAAAGTTCTGTTGCTCCAAATTCTTAGCAACACTTTGTTTTGTCAGATTTTAAATTTAGCCGGCTATAAGTTGTGCAGTGGCATGCAGTGGTGGTTTTAGTTAGCATTTTCCTGACTACTAATGGATGCTCAGCATATTTTCAAGTGTCTGTAGGCCGTTTGGATTTCCATTTTAGCAAATGCCTGTTCAGATCTTTCACCCCTTGTCTATTGGGTTACTTACCATTTTCTCTGCCTATGCTGGCTACAATTCTTTTATCTTCAATTTGTCTTTTCTTGCTCTGGAGCTTGCTTTCTTCCATCATGTCTTTTGATGAACAGAAGCTTTTATTTTTTATGTAGTCAGACATCAAGCTTTTAAATGTGTTGTTTAAGAACTCTTTACCCACCTTGAGATCATGAAAATATTGTCCTGTATGATCTTTTAAAAGCTCTCTTATTTCCCCTTTTATATTTAGGTCTCAGATCATCTAGAGATAACATTTTGTGCATGTTATGTGGTAAGGTCCAACTCCCCCACCCCTCAAGGTCTCACTATGAGGCTCAGGCCTTGTACTTGCAAGGCCTCCTCCTCCCTCAGCCTCCCAAGTCTTGAGATTATAGGTGTGAGCCGCCACACCTGGCTCAATCTCTTTTTTGTATATTTAATTTTTCCAACACCATTTACTAAAAAGACCACCTGCTCTCCACTGTTCTGCAGGGCTACTTTTGTCAGAAAGGAAAGAAGAGTAAATGTACAGGTCTATTTCTGGGCTTGCTGTTCTATTTTGCTGATCTCTCTGTGAATGTTTGTGCTAACATGGCATACACTTATTTATTGTATATGTGATGAAATTTGGTAAAGAAAGTCCCCCCCACCTTATTCTCCTCCTCTTCAACAGTAGCTACTTTTGGCCCTGGGAGTTTTTTTCCCCTTAGTTATTATTTATTTATTTTTTTAACAAAGAACATAGAGTTGAACAGTGAGGAGTCACTCCTGATTGGTTAACTAGGGCCAATCAGTCCAACGTCTTTGGCAAGCAGTTTGGCAATACTCTAATTATTGAACTCCCTCCAAGAACATGTGTTTTAACCCGGTGGTACTATTTCTGGGAATCCATTTGAATGAAATATACAAAGTCATGATTCAAACCAGGGGAAAGGCGTTGGACACAACTCCTCAGACTCAGTGTCAGATCTGTACTAAATGCTGGAGGTGGGAGCCCGGACTGTGCCTGGTTCCCTGGGAGCCCTGAGGACAAGGACAACCTCCTCCCCCTGGATTCTTGGCCTTGCAGCTTCACCAGGATGAGCACCCAGACCCCACTCACACTACTGAAACTGGCAATTCAGAGCTTGCTGAAGGACAAGGACTTGACCATGGGGGCTGTGGAAGTTTTGCCAGGGGAGCTCTTTCCCCCAGTGTTCATGGAGGCCTTCACCAGGGGACACACTGAGGCCCTGAAAGCCATGGTGCTGTCTTGGCCCTTTCCCTACCTGCCCCTAGGAGCACTGATGAACAGGAGGGATCCACAGACTTCAGACACTGAGGTGGATGTTAGGGAGGTGGAGAAAAGGATGTTACAAGCTGCACTGGATGGGACTGATGTGCTGCTGAGCCAGAAAATGTGCTCCAGGAGGTTAAAATTGCAAGTGTCAGATATGTGGGACAAGCACAACTTTTGGAGAGTCTGGGCTGGAAACAAGTTGGAAGCCTGCTCCTCCTCAGAAGCCATGAAGAGGAGAGACACAGAGAAGAGTGGGCCAAGGGCAGCAGAAAAGCAGCCCCTCAAGGTGATTGTAGACCTGGGGCTCAGTCACGAATGTCTGTATCTATTCCAATCCTACCTCCTCAAGTGGGTCCAGCAGAGGAAAGGTCTGGTGCAGTTGGATTGTCCGAAGCTGTGCATTAAAGCAGCAGACATTCAAAGTATCATAGAGATCACAGAAATCCTGAACCTTGATTCTGTGCGGGTGGCAGAACTGGGTGACTGCTGGACATTATCCACCCTGGCTCTTTTGGCCCCTTATCTGGTTGAGATGAAAAATCTTCAGGCACTAATCATTTCTGACATCTCCGTGCCTGAGTTCCTTTCCTCAACGGAGTTAGAGCAATTGCTCACCCAAATCACCTCTCAATTTTGTAAGTGTCACCATCTGGAGAAGGTTTGTATAGACTCTCTCCCTTCGTGAGCCAGTGCCTGCTCTGGATATACTGCCCTGTGTGATAACAGATGACCAGCTCTGTGCCTTTCTGCCTACCTCGAGCCGATGCTCCCAGCTCATTTCCTTCAGCTACCTGAGGAACTCCATGTCCATAGCCAACCTGGAGAGCCTGCTGTGTCACACTGCAAGGCTGAGGAACTTATGCCTGAATGTCTGCTGGCTGAGACTGGACTAGTTTCAGGGTGGGCTAAGGAGGATGGTGCAGCCATTGAACCATCCCAGGACAGTCCGGTTTTGTGTTGCTCATTGTGTGCTCCCTTGTAACTATAGAGTCTATTATCCATATCCTGTTCCATGGCCTACTTGTATCACTATCTAGTTGGATTCAAATATCCTATGCTTGTGCTGGGCATTAGGAACACAGGACCTTAGTTTCAGTGTTAATGAGAAAAAGACTGGTCAGACAGCAAACTTGGAGAATCATCGGATCCAGAGTTAAAGTGAATTTTGCAGGCTTTGGGTCCTAGAAAGCATCAGAAAGAGGAATCTGAGTTTCTAGCTATAAATTCAGGCTTGAGATGAATATGTGTTTGATTGTAAAGAAATGATCTGAAATAAAGGGAGTTGCATCTAAAAAAAAAAACAACTGCTGGAGGTGCAACAATAGGAAGCCCACTCCTGACTCCAGAAGCTCCCAGTCTCTTTAGGGAGACAGCCACACAAATTCATGACTTCAATCCAGTGTGCTGTGTGCTGTGTGCTCAGATGGAGCTATGTACAAATACTACACGCACAACGATGTCTGTCCAAGCGTTACTTATAAGAGGGGGAATTGAGGGCCGGGCATTTAGCTCAGTGGTTTCGCCGCCTGCTGCGCAAGTGCAAGGACCCGAGTTCAATCCCTGGTACCAAAAAAAAAAAAAAAAAAAAGAGGGGGAATTGAAAACAACTTAAAAATGAGGCAAGGTGTGTTTGGATAAGTAAAGTATGGAATATCCGCACAATGGAATATTGACCATATAGTGATGAACATCAAGACTCTAGCAACATGCATAAATGATTTTAATATAAAAAGAGTAGGGTGCGATGCTACTGCAAGAAATAACTATATCTCTGGGGAAAAATAGATTCATTGGAAAAGTACTAGAAGGACTATACCATGATGATAACAGTTATTAGGAAAATAGATGGGTGTTATTCTTTCTGCCTTTTTCAAACTTTCAGTTATGCAGTTATATAAAGTCATAATAAAAATATAAGTAAAGCCACTTCCTATTACCAGCTACTTTTGTCCCCCAAAAGTACCTACCACGAGCCACTCAGTAAGTGAAATTATTTAATCATGTGATCTCACAACCCTCAGAGCCCTTTGGGTTATTATCTCCTCATGAATAAGAGCAGGAGGAGGAAGCTTAGAGAGGTGAAAATCTGCCTGAAGCCACACAGCAGGAAGCAGAGACTGGCAGGCATTTTTAGCCTGGGGTGTCTCTCACACCCCTCCAACTAGGAACCAAACCGAAGGGTGCTCTACCACTGAGCTCCATCCCCAGCTTTTTTTCTATTTTATTTTGAGACAGGGTCTCCGTGGCCTTGAACTTGTAATCTTCCTGCCTCAGCCTTCCAAGTAGCTGGCATTACAAGCGCGTGCCACTCAGCCTCAGTCCGGCACTAGCCAGCTCCTAGCTGCTACCAAACTGTAGCATCTTTCACAGAGAAGTGAGCTCAAGGATGGTTACAGTGTGGGTCTGACCAGAGAAAGTAGGTCATTAGCTTCTAGGCCCCTCCAGTCCAGGGTCTCTGATTCTCAGCCCCATTTCCCAGTAACTCGCTGGGTGATCTCAGAGAGTGACCCGATCCTGCTGAGTCCTAGCTTACTCTGCTGTGAAATGCAATGACTAGACCCCACCTCATCTGTTGTTGCGTTGATTAATGAGATAATATACATTCCCTGTCCTACAAAAAGGAGACACTTGTGAATTTATTTCCCTCTACCCAAGGACACAGGAAACTTGAAAAAGCCCCAGCCTTTTCCTCTCACTTGGCCTCTGGTTATTGTCCTGGGTGTAATGGAGTGGAAAACTCTCTACACGTCTCCCTGTGACAGTGAATTTCTAATCTCAGAAAACTTAATGGTTTTTGTCAACCTGATTGTCCAGTGAGAGCGGATTAGGAGAATGACTTCCCTTGTCACTGGAAAGTTGACTTGCTTCACAGCATTTTTCCTGGTGCCGGTGGGAGGCACGATCGATACAACACGGACCTAAATACTTACCTGTGGTTTCGGGGCTGAGGACAAAGGTTGGGAGTTCTATTTAAGTGCCTTCAGCCATTTCTAAGTAGACCCAGCCGTGATGTGCATTAAGCGGTTCAGGCCGGTGACCCGGAGCTCCCAGGACTGAGGGGCAAACTAGAAATCGAGTTTCTCCTGAGCAGCGATGCAGAGGGCTCCGGCTCTGGCTGGATTTGTCTTTTCTGCTCCAGTTTCCCGTCTGCAGGAGGAAGGCCCATTAGTTACTGTCTGCGCTGCCAGGGAAAGATGGCCTTGCTAGTTTCTGTATCAGGACTTCCCAGAAACAAGGTACTGCTGTAAATATGGACAGAGACTACTAATGGGAGCTTGCTTCCCAAATTCCCCTGCACACTGGCAGTCTGAGGCCTGGAGGCTACACATCACCTAGGGCTGCTTTTGCACCACACTATACTCTGCAGCAGATGGGACTGAGAGACAGACCTCTGCAGCGAGTGTCCCCAAGAATGTAGCCACTCCGGGGACTCCTGCCATATCCAGGGAAGCTCTCCAGTCCCAGGGCAGCAAACAAAGCCTTGTCTTATTTGAGACACTTAGAATCATTGTCACTTTTGGGGGGAATTTATTTTGGACCTTTCAGGCTCTGTCAGGTCCTCAGTACTCTTCCTTCATGGTAACTCATTGCAATAGGAAATGCGCAATATCCACACCCATTGGAATGCAAGCTCCACACAGGCAAAGATGTTTACCTGCTTTGTTCATTGCTGACCCACGATCCTGTTTTGGACACAGTAGGTTCTCAGTAAGTATTTATGGACTACAGAATTATCAAATCTGTATGGCCACTTGTTTATGACCTGTCTCCCTATTTGAGTAGAACTTTCGTGAAAGAAGGAATTCTTATTTACCCTGCATCCTTAGCACACAGGCCTTAGCACCTTGGTGCATAATAGATGCTCAGTAAATATTGAAGGAAGAATAGAGTGCTTAAAATTTTTCATGCTGATTTAATCTTAAATTATTTAATAATAATACCACAATACAGTTATTTTAGAAAAAAAAAGAATAAAGTAAAAGACACATCTTCCATTAATAGACTACTCATATAGTTACTTTAATTGTTTTGATGCTTTTCCCTTTAGAGTTTTTACTTGGGTGTTATACACCTAATTTTAATTGGATTATTTCATGTGCATGCATGCATGTACACCCATACACACATGTGCAGAGACACACACACCAACAGCTGTCCAGTTGTCAAGCAGTTATACAAACTGAAGAGCAGGAAGGGAGGCCTGGGTGAGTAGTGTTCCCCTCTTTGCTGTAATTAATTGTTGGCCCTACAATGAGATTGATAGTGTTCTGGAAACTGCTAGTGAAAAGCATCGCTCTCTAAAGGTTTACCCTCAGGGTCAAGGCAAATCTGGCTATGGAAAAAATGTGCAGGTTAGAAATAATCTCCAGGAAAATGCTTTATTTTTATGCTTACAAATCAGAGAAACTTGCCATGGCCATAGCTAAACATAAACCAGTTATATACACAGCAGTGAGCTTAGTGGCTCAGAGTTCATTTCTCATCCTTTTTTATCTGTATCATTAGGCGGAAATCAGCCAGCTCCTATCTATAAGTCCTTAGTGACACAGTGCCAACAAGTGGCTTGTGATTATAGAAGTGAGGAAGCTACTGTATAATTTAAAAAACAAATCAACTCAAAACCCTGTTGTGCTATATTCAAAGTACATTTCTAAATGTTTAGAGTGAAATGGGTCTACTCCCTATGGACAGCAAGCCCATCACAGTAGAAAGCCTCAGCTTACAATGAGCAAAAGTTATGCAAGTTTCTTGTTGGTAAATAAGGCAGACAGGAAGATGAGGGGACAAATGTCTCATTGACTGAGGGGCTACTTCCAGGGTGGGCTACAGATGCTGTGATAACTACAGGGAAGGAGGGACACCTGGATCTTGATTGTCTATCTTGTTTCTTTCTATTTCTGATCTGGAATAGAAAACAGGAGTAGGGACTGAGAGAGGGGATGATCTGAGATTAATAAAGTGGCCCCCAGCTGGGCGAGGGGTTAATGGCAGGCAGGGAGCTTGGGGTTAGTTCTAGCTCTGTCCACCTTAGTGTATGCATCGGTCAGCTTTGCAGGTGCCCTAAAAGATGATGACTTCACACAACCTACATAGACTTGTGAGGATGGAATAAAATCCTGGCTGCAAAAGCACTTTGAAAAGCACATAAGAAAATGTTTTAAAATGAGAAGTAAGGTGCCAGTATTTCGAGAGCAAGCCATGTTATTGAAAAGCCCTCATGAGGATTTTCAACACTCAGCCTGCCTGGCCAGAAAAGAGGCTCTGAGAAGCAGAGAGCTAAGGGCTCTTGGATATGGAGGGACCCAGAGATGAAGGGAGTGCTGTTTTCCTAGGCATGTCAAGGCACACCCCCGTTAAAATCATTGTTACTTTTCACTTCTGACCTTTCAGACTAGGCACTTGGTAATAGTTGAGTTCGTGGAAAAGAGTATGTGTACCTGTTTTTGCTTCTTTCACTTTCCCGTCTATAATATTTATGTATCTGTAAAACTAAGATGGTGAAAGAAGACAGCTAGTAAAGTAAAAATTCTAAGAAACGTGGACTTCTAAGGCTAAGTTTTATCTGCTTTCCCCCAGGTATTTACAACTGAAAAACAATAACGAGGTACTTCCTTTAACAAGTTCTATTTATTTTCATCTTTTTGAATTTACTTATCTACTCGACAAATATGTATTAAACACCCACCTGAATGTACAGGAAGGAAATAATTGGCTTCTCCAGCATTTATGAGATAGGCCTTACAGCCTCAAATCTATCAGGCATTGCAAAAGCCTCAAGAGATGAAACCGAAAAGAAATTGCAAGCTAAGTATGACATTCAAATTCAGAAAGCCATCATTGTCTGGTGTGGAAGGAACAAATAGTTGCTCCCCAAATCTACATTTTCCTTTTC